CATTGAAGGTATGTAAACAGGAGGCTGCTTGTAATTGTTTATTTCCTTGATGGAAGGGTGTTCCACAGGGCAGGTGCCACTACTGAGAAGGCCCTGCTTCTGGGTTCCCTGTAACTACTTCTCACAATGAGGGAAGTGCCAGAAGATCATCGGAGCTGGACCTCAGTGTCTGGGCTGAACAATGGAGGTGGAGAGGCCATTGGCCTGATTCAGCAGCCTCTTCCTATGTTCTTGCCACCTTGCTGAAGCTAAGCAGGTCTGGACCCAGTCAGTGCCTGGAAGGGAGACTGCCTGGGAACCACATGTACATACTGTTGAGATTTCCATTCCACCTTAAGGAGGAGACGTGTGGAACTGTTGCATGTCACGTGTCTGTTTACATTCCAGCACAGTATGCTGGGAACTTCCGATGTGTATAGCTTTTGCTTTTTCCCCGTTATCTCTGAGAAGTTGAAGAGAGACAGAGACATGTTTCTTTGTCCTGATTTATGATTAATAAATCTGTAGTTATAGTATGCTTCCACAAGCCTCACCCCTATTCTGTGTGGGCAGTTCAATCTGCCGATAGCGTGCCCTGGCTTTGAAGCCCGGGTCGCTGATTTACGTTGGAGCAGAGGCGATGGGTCTTCGCAGCAGGACGGCTGGAAGGAGACGGCCCAGCCGGGGATAGCCAGCTGGACTTGCGGCCCTTCATGTCGACACATACCTTCTGACACGCCCCAAATTGAGGATGCCATCTTCTGGTCATGTGACCCACAGGAGATCCTACCCCCCCCAAAAAACATGCTTTTTCATGCACAGTGCCCATAACTGCATGTTTTGAGGTGCCATGCCCCCCAAAAGTGCAGCCCAAAATTGTGTAAGATTGTGGCAGCCATTTTGGCTGCTCAGGAGAAAAAAACGGGATGGCCCATTTTCCCCCAGGGCAGTTGACAGGTATGCATGTATTCCACCTTGGGTTGAAGGGTGGAAGAAAGGTGTATGGATATAAATGTAAGAAAATGAATATAAATGAATTAACTGGAGCAATGAAGTATGTTCTAAAGAAGACTGGGGGGGGGGGGAGAGGCAGTTTGATTGGAGGCTTGGTGAGGGCAGAAGGCCTGGGAGGACAGCAATGGCACCAACTCTTACTGGCTCTGCGCTTGCAGCTTAAGCCAGCAGAGAGCATTGAGCCGTTGAGTTTAGCTGTTGTGGAAGAGGAGAGGCAGAGAGTTGTCCGGCATTAAACACCAGCAGCCAGTGGAGCCTTTATGTCTTTGAAGCCATTTTTATGCTGCCCTTCACTCCAAGAGAATTCCCAGGGCTGCTCATAAGAGCCATAAAAACCAATATCAAGAAAAAACAACACAACAGAAAATGAAGCCCGATATATATATAACGCAGTTTGCAAGCGCAGCCTAAATCAGGACAATTGGAAATGTCAACCAGCTGTACCCTGGAAAAGGCACACAGACAGCACAGCTCACTCCCAGGGAGGCAGGCATGTCCAGTCACTTGGATGGGTGCTATTATTATTATTATTATTACTATTTATTATTATTAAAATTTCTATACCACCCTTCATCCGAGGATTACAGGGGTCTGAGGATTCTTTTGCAATATAAAAACACAACCGGGCTCAGGGCGGCTAACACCAGGTATAAAAACAATTGATTAAAATACAACTTAAAAACAAGATTAAAATACAACATTAAAATGCAGCCTCATTTCAGTAGAAACTCAAATCAAAAACTTTTTGGGAATGAAAACGTTAAATCTTCACCAAGGCCAACTATCCAGACTGGTCCTACATGGGCCAGAAAAAAGCCAGGGAAGTCCCCAAATAGGAGTTCCATCACAGAAGGAGAAAGGAAAAAGGAAAGAGGGGGAGGGGATCAAGTTGAACAACTCTGTCTTACAGGCCCTGCGGAAAAAAATCAGATCCCGCAGGGCCCTGGTCTCATGAGAGAGAGCGTTCCACCAGGCTGGAGCCATCACTGAGAAGGCCCTGGCTCTGGTTCAGGCTAATCTGACTTCCTTAGGGCCTGGGACCTCTAAGGTGTTGCTATTTATGGACCTTGAGGCTCTCCGTGGGGCATAACGGGAGAGGCGGTCTCGTAGATACGAGGGTCCTAGGCAGTGAAGGGCTTTAAGGGTCAAAAGCAGCACCTTAAATCTGACCCTGTACTGCACCGGGAGCCAGTGCAGCTGGAGAAGCACTGGGTGAATATGCTCCCATAGCAGGGACCCCGTGAGGAGCCTCGCTGCTGCATTCTGCACCCGCTGGAGTTTCTGGGACAGCTTCATAGTAACAAACAGAAACAATAGCCCACCACTAAAGAGGATTGGACAAATTCATGAAGGATAATGCTATCAGTGGCTTCTAGCCATGATAGATATGCTATGCTACAGATGCAGCAATGCTTCTGAATACCAGCTACTGGAAATCACAGGAGGGGAGAGTTGCTCTTGTGCTCGGATCCTGCTTGCGGGTTCCCCACAGGCATCTGGATGGCCACTGCGAGAACAGGATGCTGGATGCTGGCCTGATCCTGCAAGCTCTTCTTATGTTCTGACCTGACAGCAGTAGCTTGACTCCACATTGTATAACCTCCCCAAAAACAGATCGTAAAAGACATTCCGTAAATGTTCCTCTTGAAGGATCCCTAATGAGATAGCAGCTTGGTGATTTTGTCCAGTCACTATTGGCAGGCGTAAGGGAATCAAATCATGTTGTCTTCTACCATGGGTGGGTGGGTGTGAATCAGGGCAGGGCTCAAATTATCAGGGGTTTCAGGCAGGAATATTTCTGCAGTCCTACCCAGAATCATAGAATCACAGAATTGTAGGGCTGGAAGGGACCCCGAGGGTTATCTAGTCCAACCCCCTGAAATGCAGGAATCTCAGCTAAAGCATCCATGATAGATGGCCATCCAACCTCTGCTTCAAAACCTCCAAAGTAGGAGAATCCACCACCTCCTGAGGGAGACTGTTCCACTCAGTGGCGTAGCGTGGGGGGTGCAGGGGGCCGGCCGCACCGGGCGCAACATCTCGGGGGCGCACTCGCACTTGCAGCTCTCTGCCCCTACCTGGCTCACTCACTCTCTCTCACTGCAGTGCTGGCTGTGCGAATCCGATCCGAGCCGCTGGGTCGCCGCCCACTGTGGAGGGGGTGGGTGCCAGGCGTGCGGTGCGGAGAGAGAGCGAGACACTATCTGGGGGAGGGACAGTGCAGCGGCCGCCCAGCGCAGCGCTGAGCGCGGGAGAGAACCACACCAGCCCAGCCCAGGCAGCAGCAAGAAGAAGCTGGCAGCGGCGGCAGGTTAGGGGTTAGGGGTTAGGGGGCGCAAATTACTTGCCTTGCCCCGGGTTAGGGGGCGCAAATTACTTGCCTTGCCCCGGTGCTGACAACCCACGCTACACCGCTGGTTCCACTGTCAAACAGCTCTTACTGTCAGAAAGGTCTTCCTCCTTTCTTTCTTGTAACTTGAAGCCATTGGTTCTGGTCCTACCCTCCAGAGCAGGTGAAAACAAGCTTGCTCCATCCTCCATGTGACAGCCCTTGAGATACTTGAAGATGGCTATCATGTCTCCTCTCAGTTTCCTCTTTTCCAGGATAAACATACCCAGCTCCTTCAGCCATTCCTCATATGGCTTGGTTTCCAGACCCTTGGATCATCTTGGTTGCCCTCCTCTGCTCACATTCCAGCTTGTCAACATCCTTTTAAAATTGTGGCACCCAGAACTGGACACAGTATTCCAGGTCTGGTATTCCTGGAGCTGTTCTGGCTGGGGGCTGATGGGAGCTGTAGTCCTAAATCCCCGGAAGGCACCAGCTTGGGAATGCTTGCTTTAGTGTGCCATTCTATACACATCCCCTCTACCCAGGGACAGTCAGAAGGGACCATGTGGAGGCCATTTGCCTGTGCAAGCCTCCCTTAATCCACCAGAATTTGCCTCGATTCTTTTAAGTTTTCTAACACCCTGCTATCTCCAAAGCCTCGGAGCAGATAACAACATGAAGAACAATACATTTGTAGTGCAGGCAGAGGGGGACTCCGATGTGGTTAAGTCGGCCTTTTGTTTGTGGAGTCCTCCTCCTTTTCTCCTGCCTCCCCCACCTCCGTCTTCTATCGGTATTGAGATATGAAGAAGGCAGCGAGCAGAAATGCAAATTGAATTACTGCCAAATCTGAAAGTGCAGGAGAGATGCTTATGCTTCTATTTAAGATGCAAGCCCAGGATAACACTCTTCAGGCTCAGGAATGCTCCAGAAGGCAAGAGCATTATTCGTGCCACAAAACTTCACAGAAGCAGGAGACCAAAGAAGGCCCTTGAGAGACCGCCTGATTCCTTGCGTAACTGATAGGTTACTGGGGTCTGTGAGGAGCCAAACCTGCAGGAACTCAGAACAGGGCTCCCAGTGGGATGGGTCCTTTTCTCGGAATAGCATTCAGGTGCCCACTGTCTGCACTTTCCAGCAACGACTGAAGCCATCTTTGTACCAATGGCCTTTCACAGCTGGATAAACAGGTTCCCAAACTTCTAACCACTCTGCCACGCTGGCTCTGATGTCTGCAAAAGTATGCTGAACCTTCCAGTTATTTTATTCAAACTGTAAAGGTAAAGGTAAAGGGACCCCTTACCATTAGGTCCAGTTGTGATTGACTCTGGGGTTGCGGCGCTCATCTCACTTTATTGGCTGAGGGAGCTGGCGTACAGCTTCTGGGTCATGTGGCCAGCATGACTAAGCCGCTTCTGGCGAACCAGAGCAGCGTACGGAAACACCGTTTACCTTCCCACTGGAGCGGTACCTATTTATCTACTTGCACTTTGATGTGCTTTTGAACTGCTAGGTTGGCAGGAGCCAGGGACCGAGCAACGGGAGCTCACCCTGTCGCAGGGATTCGAACCGCCAACCTTCTGATCGGCAAGTCTTAGGCTCTGTGGTTTAACCCACAGCACCACCCCCGTCCCTTATTCAAACTGTAATAATGTTTAAAAAATTGTCCAGTAGCACCTTAGAGACCAACTAAGTTTGTTTTGGGTATAAGCTTTTGTGTGCATAAGCTTATACCCAGAACAAACTTAGTTTTTCTCTAAGGTGCTATTGGACAATTTTTAAAATTTTATTTATTTATTTTGACTGCATCAGACCAACACGGCTACCTACCTGAATCTCTAATAATGTTTGTATAAGGTGTATGCATCTTAATAAGGTGTATGGAGTGTTAGGGGAGGGGCAATCCCCTCTGGTGGGGGACTCATTGTGAACCTTTTGCAGTAGCTTGTGCACCTTTGGTCCCCACCCTGCACTCAGCTCTCACCTGTGGCTCCTGGATGCTGCCAGCAATGGCTGTGACTGGCTGGCTAAACCGGGTGAGGGTAGCCGATGGGTCTCAAGTGCTCAGTGAATCAAGGACTTCCTCTGCACGTGAAGACAGGCTCTGGTGGACTGAAGGGACGAGACCAATAGTGGGTCCAAAAGTCAAGAAGGCGGTTTCTGCACACACTGTAGAAGGAAGTGAGGGGTGGATGAGGTTTGCCCACCTGGGAAGGTGGCCCATCTAGGACAAGCAATAATCTGACCATAAACCTCCACTGCCTTGTGGGATATCTTCAAGAGAAGAAAAGGCTAAGACACAAACGCTACACAAATCTGGAGTGAAGTCCCTAAGTTGGTTGGATGGCGTCTTGTACACCTCCTACTGGCAACTCCTGCAGCCAAGCTGGTGCCAAACACATTTCTTCACTTTCCTTTGGACCACAGCAGTGAGGCAAAGGGAAGCATCTTGTCACCTGGGCAGCCCAGGACTCCAAAATACACTGCCCAGTTTTGCGCCCCAGGGATGTCACTTTGGTACTGCTGATGAAGCAGTTTAACTTGGCCCCGGAGGTGCACACTCCATTGTCTCTCGAGACAGAAGGAAGCCAGCCACAACAATGACATGCCCCACACAGCCATTGCTCTTTGCTGTTTGCACGTTGCTGTTTTTGAAAACTCAATAAACACATCTTTAAAAGGGGGAAAGAACAGTCGGCGTGGCTGTTCTGAGAACTTGATACTTATATAAAAGAAACACTTATTATTTGACTGGCCAAAGGCTAAGCCTCTTTTCTCGCCCTCCCCAACGCCTCAAGGGCATCATCCTCAGCACAATTACGCAGCAGTAAGCCCTGTTCTGGATGGCATCAGGAGAAGGGCATGCAGACATGGCACCCCCCATTCTGAATCTCAATGGGAAGGATTGTGCTGGAAATGGCTGCACATGAGTCCCATTCAGTTCTTTGGGGTTCACAGCTCAGTCCTAAGCAGGCCTCCCAGCAGGTTCTTCAAAACTTAATTGAGGTGGGGGAGAGAGAGCTATTCCGCTTTGCCTGTTCTCCGCAGACTGTCACGGGTTCTTCCAACATGACCTCAACATGGGAGGCAGCTTGAAAGGTTTCCGAATTAAAACTCAGCAGCTGTCTCTGCGTTTCCTGCTGCTACGCTGAAGACCATGTGGTGGGCGACAGCTCAGATGGAAATTGTATTTAAAATCCACACGTGACTGTGATTCATGAATCTATCGGTGAATCCAAATGACCCCTCCTCACTGTTTTTAAATTAAATGCAAATGCCTTGAAATGTACTAAAGCACAGCTCACAGCTCTCGCTGCAGCCCAGAACTTCTTGCACCCTGTAGTTTTGTGGGATTGCTGTGGAAACATAGAAATTGGGGACTGAGGGAGAGGGGGAGAGGGCTGGCTCATAGACCAGCATCTCTTCTTTCAGGGATTTGTTTTGTTTTTAAAAGCAAGTTTCTAGTCCTTATGTCAGGGGAGAAAAGCAGAGGTAGGGTGTATCCAATGTTAGGCATAGGTTAGACCCATTGAAATGAATGGACATGGCTTAATTAAACTGTGCAGTATACTGTGCAGTTTGGAGTGACTGGATGCATGAAAACTGACTCCTTTTTGGAAATAAAACATTGTCAGGGCCCATAAGTTTAATTAAAATTTACTTGCGGAACTTTCTTCACAACAGAATTAAAATATCAAATGATACATCCAAACAGCTCCATAAGACAGGCGCCAGTCCAAGACATAGGCTTAGCATCTTACAAAATATGAACTAATCCAAACAGACCTAGAAGCAAAGGTCACTCTCCTAACGGCATCCATTCTGCCTGAAGAAGTTTTCCTGGAGAGCTTCATTCATATCCTTACTCCATGGAGCCAGGGAACAAAAGACTCAAGGGCAACTCCCTTCAAAACGGTGATTTGCAATTCAATAGCCTCCCATGTGATCTAAGGTTAAACACTCACATGTTAGCTAGAAGAAAACAACAACAGTTAATCATCAACACAGTTAAAGCTCAAAGAGACCATTCTTGGCTTTAATATAGCCCCATGAAAAATCCCCATGTTGAAGCCTTTTCAGCAATACACAGGCATTCACCATTTCATTGTCAATTAAACCAATTATACTTAACATGGCTAACCTAAGTACATTAATTTAACATTAATTTAATGGATCTATTCAATATAGAATGCAGTTGAATACAGCACATAGATACATTAATACAACTCATACAAAGGAGCCAAGCCATGTAGGTGAAGAGACAAAATATCCAAGGCTACCACCAACCGGAGAATCAACAACTGTAGATTGTTGTTTCATACACACTGTGGCTAACTCAAATTTTTCAGTGGTTTGTCTGAACAACCCCATTACAAACCATGGTTTATGATCCTCTGGAGAGAAACCAGAGTTAAAGCTAGCCATTCTCAATTCAGACAAGATGACAAATGGTGATGAGTTGAAAATGAAAAAGGATGCTTTCAATCTCATCTTCACCAATTGAATTTCTGCCTGCCTGCTTGTTTTTAAATGTAAGAAGGATGCGCAAGGAGTAGGGGGAAGCTGGTGGCGGTCACCCCAGCTGCGTGGAGAGAACACAGGCTGTCGAAAGCAGAAAGGGCCCATAATAAAAGGATGGGGAAAACCCTCTGAAACCTAAAACTGAAACAAAGTGCCAAAAATGGATTCACAGCCTGCCAACCTCCCCCCCTCCCTCCCCCCCCACCTTGCCAGCTGCCTCTACCTGAGATGTTTGTTTGTATCAGAAGAGAAGATACCTCTCTGGTTCTCAGAGATTTGAAAGTCAAATGAGTCTTCGCCTGCATGCTGCAACTCAGAGATTTGACTTGGAAACTGTTTTCCTTTGGCATAATAAGACTCAAGAGGAAGACAGGAGAGGGAGAGAGGGAGAGGGGACTAGGCGGGGAAGGGGAGAACTCAGCAACCAAGGAGTTGTGTTGGAGATTTCTAACACAAAACTAAGAGGGGAAACAGGCACCCCATCAAAATAATTAAAAAATATAAAATTTCCTCTAAAGGCGGGCAGCTGAAGGAAGCCATGGCTGGGGCAAGTCTCGGGCTGCGCCACCCTGGAAATAATCTTGCACCATCTCCCAAACAATCCTGGCAAGTCTTCATCAAAGCAGTACTCTTTTGTCTTTTGGCAAGCAGAGCCCTTTCCAGGCCCTCTGGGGAGCAGCGTTCTCCTGGGATGCTCAGGCTACCACAAGAACCAAGAGATGATGAGCTTAGCCAAAGCTCGTTTGCACTTCCCCTCTGGGGAAACCTGGGGTTTAGCGCTGAATTGGAGCAAACGGCAATTGCTATAGAGTGGTTTTTCTGGGGGGAAGCGGTAGGGGAGAGGTGAAATCTCTCGGGCTCTTGCCTTGAAAGCGTGGGACAAGTGGAAAACTTATCGGGCGCGTGTTTTCTAAGCATGGGAGAAGCAGAAGTAAGGATGGGCCCAAGAACACCCTCTACACCACAGATCTTGGCACTGAGGAACAGAGGCATCTCCAAGGCAGGATGGGAATTTTAATGGAGAGATATTGAAGTTGTTGCTGCTGGAAAGAAAAGGCCTCTAGTTCCTGCAGGAGCTTTTCCTTCACTGGAACACAATGCTCCCTATCAAAATCCTAGAACCTGGGGCCATCCAATCATAGAATTCGAAAATTGTAGAGTTGGAAGGGGCCTCAAGGGTCAACTCCAACCTCCTGCAAATGCAGGAATCTCAGCTAAAGAATCTATGGCAAATTGGCATCCACTTTCTGTTTAAAAAAGGGACGTGGGTGGCGCTGTGGGTTAAACCACAGAAGAAGAAGAAGAGTTTGGATTTGATATCCCGCCTTTCACTCCCTTTAAGGAGTCTCAAAGCGGCTAACATTCTCCTTTCCCTTCCTCCCCCACAACAAACACTCTGTGAGGTGAGCGGGGCTGAGAGACTTCAGAGAAGTGTGACTGGCCCAAGGTCACCCAGCAGCTGCCTGTGGAGGAGCGGAGACGCAAACCCGGTTCACCAGATTACAAGACTACCGCTCTTAACCACTACACCACACTGGCTCACCACACAGAGCCTAGGACTTGCCGATCAGAAGGTCTGTGGTTTGAATCCCCATGACGGGGTGAGCTCCTGTTGTTCGGTCCCTGCTCCTGCCAACATAGCAGTTCAAAAACACGTCAAAGTACAAGTTGATAAATAGGTACCACTTCTGCGGGAAGGTAAACGGTGTTTCCATGCGCTGCTCTGGTTTGCCGGAAGCAGCTTAGTCATGCTGGCCACATGACCCGGAAGCTGTACGCCGGCTCCCTTGGCCAATAAAGCGAGATGAGCGCCGCAACCCCAGAGTCGGCCACGACTGGACCTAATGGTCAGGGGTCCCTTTACCTTTACCTTCTGTTTAAAAACCTGCAATGAAGGAGATTCCACCACCGCCCAAGAGAGTTTGTTCCACTGTCAAACAGCTCTTATCGTCAGAAAGTCATTCCTGATACTTAGTTGGAATCTCCTTTCTTGCAACTTGAAGGCATTGGTTTGGGTCCTCCCCTCTGGAGCAGCAGAAAACAAGCTGCTTGCTCCATCTTCCATGTGACAACCCTTTAGATATCTGAATATGGCTATCATGTCTCCTCTCTGTCCCCTATTTTCCAGGCAAAACATACCCAACTCCCTCAAACATTCTTCATCTTGGTCACCCTCCTCAAACTTCCCAGCATGAGATGCTATTTGCATCCAGGCCCTCTGTTAGAATGGTGAATCCACGATAAAATCCCTTCAGGACTTCCAGTCATAGATTCCCTTTATATAATCATAGAATTGTAGAGTTGGAAGGGACCACGAGGGTCATCTAACTTTCCCTTGTGGTCCTTTCCAACCCTACAACTCTATGATTCTATTATTATCCAGATACATACACATAAATATATAACCTACTGTATTTTGCATATTTTGTATACTTGTCCATGCAAAGTCTACGTCTAGAAGCAATAAGACGTATTGCAATAAATTGCGAGTATAGTCATAAAGAGAAACAGATTAGAAACAAACAAACTTTGACTTGACTAAAAAAAAAAGGTGTGCCCTGTACTTAATTGGAATGCATATTTTATTTATTTATATATACGCACACATATTAAAAGTTAATTATGTTTTAATACAAAAGCTTCAGCTGACAACCACAGTCCTAGAAGAGGGATATCTTCTTCGTTCTTCTTAAGATTGTGATCTGCTGAAACAATGGACGTGTTCTTCAAAGCTGTTGTTTTATTCATACGCATTTTGATGCAGATTTAATTGATTAATTTAAGCTCGTGCAATTAATCAACTCAGATTTGTTTAATCAGCTGACTTTGGTGAATTCAGGCAGCTTAATCACCGGGGGGTGCTTCTTTCATCCCATCAAAAGACAGAGCTCTTTGGAGATCATAGAATCATAGAGTTGGAAGGGACCTTGAGGATCTAGCCCAGGGGTAGGCAACCTAAGGCCCGGGGGCCGGATGCGGCCCAATCGCCTTCTCATTCCAGCCCACGGACGGTCCGGGAATCAGCGTGTTTTTACATGAGTAGAATGTGTGCTTTTATTTAAAATGCACCTCTGGGTTATTTGTGGGGCATAGGAATTCGTTCATTTGGGGGTTGGACTAGATGACCCTCGGGGTCCCTGCCAACTCTACAATTCTATGATTTTAAGATCCTCTGGCCTTTGCCCCATGACTTTCGTGGTCAGTCCGTGGTGTGGAACCAGAGAGGGCTTCCTCATCTTGGCACCCTCCGGTTGTTTTGGGCAGACCCTCCAAGTATCCCTATTTTCTGGGGACAGCCCCGGATTTACAGACCCCGTCCCCATTTCTGATTTGATCCTAGGATGTCCCGCTTTTCCTTGGGACATCCCTATTTTCATCGGAGAAATGTGGGAGGCTATGGGGTTATGTGTCCCCGTCCCCCCAGCCAAGGAGATAACTATACAACCTTTAGAAGACAACTGGAGGCAGCCCTGTATAGGGAAGTTTTAAAATGTTTAATGTTTTATTATGTTTTTATATACAGTGGTACCTCGGGTTAAGTACTTAATTTATTCCGGAGGTCTGTTCTTAACCTGAAACTGTTCTTAACCTGAAGCACCACTTCAGCTAATGGGGCCTCCTGCTGCCGCGATGCCGCCAGAGCACGATTTCTGTTCTCATCCTGAAGCAAAGTTCTTAACCCAAAGTACAATTTCTGGGTTAGTGGAGTCTGTAACCTGAAGCGTATGTAACCCGACGTACCACTGTATGTTGGAAGCTGCCCAGAGTGGCTTGGGCAACCAAGTCAGGTGGGTGGGATATAAATAATAAAAATATTATTATGAAATAGGACGTGCCTACTTTCAATGGATAAATGTTGGAGGGCACAGTTTTGGGGGGAACTGCAACTCCTATCAGCCCCAGCTGTAAAGATAAAGGGACCCCTGACTGTTAGGTCCAGTCGCGGGCGACTCTGGGGTTCCGCGCTCATCTCGCTCTCGTCCCCCCAAAAGAGCTGGAGGGCGCCAGGTTGGGCAAAACTGGCGCCAGCTGCGCTAGAAACGCACACAAAGCGCGGTGTCCTCTTTGTTACCAGATCCTGCCCTCTCCCTCCCTACCCAAAAGACAACAGCAGCTACGGACCCTCTGGAGTGGAATCAGGTGCCAGACTGCAAGGAAAGAGGGAGGCTCGGGGGAGCCCGGGCGAGCGGGCAGCAGGAAGGCACTCGTTGCCCCCGGGGCCAAGGGCGGACAGGGAAGGAAGGAAGGAAGGAAGGAAGGAGAGGAAGGGGCCGACGACAGGAGCCTCTCCAGCCCCCCAGCTTTTGAGCCACGCGCAAAGCAGCGGCGCTTCCCAGGCTCGGCTTGGGTTTCAGCAGGACCAGATGTGAACTCGGGGGCTGGAGGTGGGATCCTGCCCCGGGCCCAGACTCCCGCTCGCCACCGCGGAGAGAGGCTCCGGTGACGCCGGCGCTTTTCGCCCCGAGAGGCGCGCAGCCGGAGAGGAGAGGCAAGGCGCTTCTCCAAGCAGCGCGCAGGGCCTGGAGCGCAGACGGGCGCCTCTTGGGGATCTTCTCTTCTTCCCAAACATTCCCAGGAGGGAGGCTTAAATATATATATATATAAAATCTGATGGCTGCTGGAAAGCTGGGCCTTTAGCAAGCCGGAACAGACTGGTTCTTCATCATGGAACAAAAGTGTTTTTGGGGGTGGTTTTTTAAAGGTTTCTTTCAACAGTGGAGCAGTCTCCCTCGGAAGCTGGTCGACTCTCTTTCCTTGAAGGTCTTTAAGCAGAGGGTGGCCACCTGCTCTGAATGCTTTAGTTGAAATTCCTGCATTGCAGGGGATCGGACTAGATGACCCTCAGGGTTCCCTTCCAACTCTACAGTTCTATGATTTCATGATTCTATGAGCAGAGTGCCATTTCTTCACAACCGTGCAGCCACCAGTAGGATTGTTTATTTATTTATTTATTTATTTATTTGGCACATTTGTACCTGGCTTTTCAGCCCAAAAGGCTCTCAGAACAGCTTAAAGGTAAAGGTAAAGGGACCCCTGAACATTAGGTCCGGTCACGGACGACTCTGGGTTTGCGGCACTCGTCCCGCTTTACTGGCCGAGGGAGCCGGCATACAGCTTCCGGGTCATGTGGCCAGCATGACTAAGCCGCTTTTGGCGAACCAGAGCAGCGCACGGAAATGCCGTTTACCTTTCTGCCGGAGCGGTCCCTATTTATCTACTTGCACTTTGACGTGCTTTCGAACTGCTAGGTTGGCAGGAGCAGGGACCGAGCAACAGGAGCTCACCTTGTCATGGGGATTCGAACTGCCAACCTTCTGATCAGCAAGCCCTAGGCTCTGTGGTTTAACTCACAGCACCACCCAAGTACGTGCAGCCATCGGTTTACAATCTATTAAAAAAAAACCCTGAAACACACAAGGGAACCAACACACAAGGGAAAAGGGACTTGGAGGGAAGAGGAAAATTGAAATCAAACCCAGGCACCAGTTTCTAAAGATGGTTAGAGGAGAGGGTTTTGCAATCAGAGGGAATGGACTGCAGACAGCCCAGTGGCACCTTTACATCTCTCTCTTTCATTGGACTTAAAAGAAGAAGATGAGGAAGAAGGCATAAGCTTATGTTCATCCTGGGGAAATCTCTCTCTCTCTGTCTCTCTCTCTCTCTCTCACACACACACACAGAAGTTCAGTGGTTTTCAAGCATTCTGCTTCCAGGGAACAGTTTCTACAACAAGGTGCCTTCCCTGTGTCCCCGCTACATCTGCCACCCAAGCCCTGCAGCGTGTCATAGGGCTTATCCACACTATTCATTTAAAACTCTTCCACACCACTTTTAACTGTCAAGGTTCCCTGCAAACCATCCCAGGAACTGTACCTTTCATTGCCGCATAACCTGGAGCCTTTGCCCATAAAAGAGGCAGCAAAACATAAAATAGACTTAACGCTGCTTTTGAGATCAGTCGTTCTCCCACTTCATGGTTTCCTCAGTCCAAAAGGGGTTCATTTCTCTTTACAGCTAGACTGGAGACAGGTGTGTGTTCGTGTGTGTTTGTAAACCAAAGCTGCATTCTAATTGAAGCGCTCCAGTGCAGAGATTCCATCTAATTGCAAATGGGGCCTTTTGTCCCCTTCTCTGTTAACCTCACATCAAAGAGCGTTGAGATAAGTAAACCGGCTAGGATGCGATTGAGAGATTCCCCCTGTACCTTAGATTCACCACCGCTTTAACCAGATGAGGCAGCAGTAGGTTCTCTCCTGCCTTTTCCTGCCTCCAGTCTTTCCATCCATCCCTCTCCCCAATCTGTGGTCAGGAACAGGTGTGCTGTGAAGGAATAGACAAAAGGATGGGGAGGGCAGCAGGTGTGAGAAGCCACCATGCCTTGCCTCCCCAGGTACAGTAAAACCATCTTATTCATCATAATTCCCCAGAGATGTTCCACAAGGCAGTGGAGGTCTAGGACCAGAGTTTTCTGAGTAAACCCTACACAAATCTGGAGTGGAGTCCCCAAGGTGGTTGGATGGAGCCTTGTACATCTCCTTGCAGCAATTCCTGCAGTCAGGTTGGTGCCAAACGTATTGCCCTGCCTTCCTTTGGATCACATCAGTGAGACTGAGAAGGTCTTGTTGTCTGGGCAGCCCAGGACCCCACCCCCATACACACTGCCCAGGCTTGCGCCCTGGGAAGGTCACTTTGCTTTGACTTTTCCCCTGGAGGCAAACTCCATTGTCTTTTGAGACAGATGGATGCCAACAGCAGCATCACAATTTACCATCCTCATCATCACCAGAAGGTCTCAGCGTGGGTTACAACAATTTAAGATCCAGGATTTAAAACAGTTAAAACAGATGACAGTCACAAGAATGTGGCGGGCCTTGAAAACACACTTTTTAGGTGTCAAAGGTCAGCTAAAGAGGTTCGTCTTCAGCATTTGTTGAAAGCTGCATGGTGAAGTTGCCAAGCACACCTCTGTGGGGAGGGAGTTCTGCAACTTAGGGGCTGCCACTACCCTGAATATGTTAGGGAGGTGGAACTACCAAGAGGGTCCCCTAAGTTGATCCTAAAACCTTGGAGGGTCTTTAGGGAAGGAGGTAATCTTTAGGATATTTGGGACCTAAGTTATTTTTGGGGCTTTAAACTCCAGTGTGAGCAAATTAAATTGATCTGGCAGCCAATCCAGATTTTTTAGAACAGGAGTTTATCTGAGTTCTCAAGGCAACCCTAACCAATAATCTGGTTGCCTCATTTCGAACCTGTTGATGTTTCCAAATAATAATAATAATAATAATAATAATAATAATAATAAATTTATTTATACCCCACCCATCTGGCTGGGTTTCCCCAGCTACTCTGGGTGGCTTCCAACAAAATATTAAAAATGCAATAAAACACCAAACATTAAAAACTTCCCTAAACAGGGCTGCTTTCATATGTCTTCTAAAAGTCAGATAGTTGTTTATTTCCTTGACATCTGATGGGAGGGCGTTCCACAGAGTGGGCGCCACTACTGAGAAGGTCTTCTGCCTGGTTCCCTGTAACTTTGCTTCTCACAGTGAGGGAACCCTCAGAAGGCCCTCGGCGCTGGACCTCAGTGAATGATGGGGGATGGAGATGCTCCTTCAAGTATACTGGGCTGATGCTGTTTAGGGCTTTAAAGGTCAGCACCAACACTTTGAATTGTGCTCAGAAATGTACTGGGAGCCAATGTAGGTCTTTCAGGACCAATGTTATGTGGTCTTGGCAGCCACTCCTAGTCACCAGTCTAGCTGCAACCCCATGTAGAGTGCATTGCAGCAGTCTAATATGGAAGTTACCAGAGCATGGATTGCCATGGGCAAGTTAAAGCACAAGAGGAATCTTCAGGTTGCAGAAAAGGACAGCCACAATGACCAAGGGGTTGGAAGTTAGACTGTTGAGGGCTTTTTAGTTTGGAAAAAAGAAGAGTTTGGGGAAGGGGGTGGGGGACATGCTAAGAGGTGTAGAAAATTATGGTGTTGAGAAATGGATAGGGAGACTCTTTTTTTCTCCCTCTGATCATAATAGAACTTCCCCACCACCACATGAAGCATAATGTTGGAAGGATCAGGGCAGACGAAAAGAATAACTCACCAAAGCTTTTTGCTGGCTGTGGATTTTTTTAAACCACCTGTTGTTACGCTGATGAGTTTCTAAATTGGTTTATTGATATGATGTGTTTCAGGCTTTTCTGCATTGATTTTTAATTGTTACATAAGCTGCCTTGGACACCAGCCCGATGGAAACATGGGATACGAATAATTGAAATCGTTTATTTGGTTACTCATTTGCTTGCTCCCCCCATCCAACTCTATTCAGTCATCTAGAAATGTAGTGATCAAAGCAGTAAATATATCAGCAGTCTTAAAGACAGTAAATGGAAACGGCACACTCCAGCAGCCCCCAAGGAGAGGAAAAACTAACTCTGAGGAACTTCTGAGTGATGGCCTTTGCCTATCGTAAGCGAAGGCTTTTCAAAAGTAAAAATGTCTTTACCTGACAGTGGCAATGCACAGAGGAGGAAGGAACACAGCAGATGTCAAAAGCACTGCACTGTCAGGGCACGGCTGAGGGACAAGGGTGTCCATTCTGTAAAAATAAAGGGGGATGGGAAAGGACAAAGAGCATTTATGAGATCTCAGGGAGAGGTAAGGAAAGGGGAAAAGAGGCTTCCTGAGACCCACAAGATCCAGATCATTTAGCCCATCAAAGGTCCAGAATGTGGCTGCCAGACTGGCCAGTGAGAGCAGCCTCTGGGACATGGATGAAGTCAGGGAGCAGGCAGCTGCCCCTCCTGAATCAAGTAAATAAAGAAAAATACTTAACTAAAAGTAGAAATTGTAGAAAGATTTTGACAGGTTTTTCTGAGCACTTGGGGTCAAAAGAAAGTAATCTAAAACAACTGTCGTAGAGACTTTTCATTCCAAATCTGCTAGACAGAGGATGTTGACAGGTGGGTTTCCTGCACCCCCCACCCCCTGGTAATATAAATCCTGGCTATGCCCATGGGGTGAAGTCAAACCGTTGGAAGGTTACAGCGCTTGCTGTGGCAGGAATGATCAATATGGGAGAGACATGTTTTGTTGCAGCTGAGGCTGGATTCTGCACAGTGAGGCAGCTGATTGGGAGGAGAGGGGCGAGAAGAGGCAGGGATGCCTCGCCTTTCACTACACTGAGTAATTTAAAGGAATGAGCAGATTCCTCCCATTTCATTGTGTTACAGGTGCGAAACTAGGCTTTACAGTCATACCTCAAGTTGAATGTGCTTCATGTTGAGCGCTTTCGGGTTGCGCTCTGCGGCAACCTGGAAGTAATGGAGTGCATTACTTCTGGGTTTCACCACTCGCGCATGCGCAGACGCTCAAAATGACGTCATGCGCATGCGTGGCAGCGGCAAAACGCGACCCGCGCATGCGTAAATGCACCGTTGCGTCTTACGTTCCACTCAGGATGCGAACGGGGCTCCGGAACGGATCCTGTTCGCATCCCGAGGTACCACTGTATTTCACCCGAGTCAAAGACCCAGTTTGGCACCTCCCCATGTGTATTTGCGTACACACACACACACACACACACACACAGGCTGGGAGCCTCAATGGTGCCCCTCTGTAGTCTTCATCCAGGGCAGAAACCCTAGCTAGTCCTGTCCCCCCCCCCCCCCGTTATGGCTTTGTGTATTATGTTATGGATTTCTTTCCATGCCACCTTTCAGGCCCCCAGGCCCCCATGTTAACATACCATGACGGCAGTGTATACGCATATTGATTAATGCCGTGCCAAAAAGAGAGAGAAAAGTAATCTTGATGCTCTTTCGTGATTGCATCATGATTCCTTTTTGTGCTGCGATTTAATCAATGCACATATGCACTGGTGCACATCAGTAATGTGTAAGTGAAAACAAAACAAAAGGAAGACATGAATCGCAGCAGCCTGAGCAAAATTCAGAAATTAAAAAGAAGAAAAGAATGCCGGGTTGCTGATATATTAGTGCTGCTCTGCTTGCAAGAATGAGTAATTGGGATCAACAAAATCTAGAAAGAAATTCAGATGCAGAGAATTTTGCAGACGTCACCCGTGATTTAAAGGTTCAGGGCAGGTCTCCAGGTCTCCCCTTGGAAACCTGTCATGCAGGGGTGGGAAAAGGAGTTATGGTTTGCATTACTTTGTGGCCTATTGTGTATTGCCTTGAATATACTATGGTGAATATTGCATCAGGAGACATTTCCTCTCCTACACAACAATTGAAAGGTGCCGTAAGAACCCCGTCCTTCTCTGCATCTGGTCACTGTAACACGCAAAATCCAAGCCTGTCATAAGTAGAGGAAAGCGAAAGATCACCCAGACAGATGCACCCATCAGATATTTTGCAAGGCTCGGGAGTATCTGTGTCAACCACATATCCTGGTGGTACAGGGGGAGGAGTTCGAGAAATGCCATCTTCAGAAATTCCAACATGAGCTGTCTTGATCTGCACCTTCCATAATTAATGTGTGGATTGGAAGGCAGCTTTCAATCAGATTTTGCATATCTCCAAATGTTGTCACGCAGCTCTCAACTAAAAACAAACAAAAATGAATTTCGAAAAGTGAATTTTTGGAGAAAAACGTCTTATTTTATAAATGCAAATTAATGTGGAAACTGGACAGTGGGGACTTATGGATGGACACACATTGGAAGTGGCAAGGACTGGAGTCATCTCTCCATCCCCTTGGCACAGCTTGCACCAACCTGGTGCCCCCCAGATGTTTTAGAAGACAACTCCCATACTGGGCATCAGGTTGGCCAAGGTTGCTCTGGCACATCTGCTGGGGGGAAAATAAACTAGGTTCAAATTGGGCCATCCCTGATAAACAAGGATAAACTTGGGAGGTATGACTCTAGCCATTGTCCATGCAGCTGTTCACACCCTCTCTAACATCCTTCAACAAGTGGCCTGTTCCTTTAAGGGGGCTCAGATGTGACCTGGGGTGGCAGGGGGGTGGAGAGGGGTAGTCCAAGGGGGAGGGTGATCTTCATGCTCATCAAAATGTTCTATGTGGAAGCACAGGGTTTTCATTTCCCCTTGTTCCCCCACCCTTTGTTTTATCTCAAAGGCTCAGTTTATGTGGGACTCTCACCCCAAGGGAAATGTTCCCAGTGTGAGGCTGCAAAGGAGGAGGCTTCTGCTAATGGAACAGAAGAGAGCAAGTTCTGGGTTTCAGGCCATGAAGGCCAGACGGTTGGGGAGCCCGTTGCCACTCTCCCTTTTGAAATGACAAGGAAGAGGCGCCACATCCACACGTTCAAAGAGCTCATGTGCCACTTGAACAGTCATGGCTTCTGCTGCAAAGAATCCTTGGATTTGTGGTCAGATAAGTGTCTCCTAACAAGCCGTGGCCCCTTTTGCAAGCTACAATCCCCAGGACTCTTTTGGGGGAAGCCGTGACTCTTAAAGTGGTTCATGAGTACTTTCAACATGCGGTGTGGATGTGGCTAGAGTTTCATGATGCTGTGCTTCTGCAAAATTGGTTTTCTTTGGGGGCAGAGTTGCACATTGCAAAGCAAACGCTGGGAGGGTTCTGAGAATAGTGAAGAGGGAAAGGAGGGGTGTTTAGCCCCTTCCACACTAGGTGGTTCTCCTCTACAGATGCATTGCTGATCAATTCTCTTTCTTTACAGATATTCCACCAGTCAAGCTGGAATAATCCTGGCTAGAGGAAGGAATACAGTGGTACCTCAGGTTAAGTACTTAATTCGTTCCGGAGGTCCATTCTTAACCTGAAACTGTTCTTAACCTGAAGCACCACTTTAGCTAATGGGGCCTCCTGCTGCTGCCGTGCCGCCGGAGCCCGATTTCTGTTCTTATCCTGAAGCAAAGTTCTTAACCTGAAACACTATTTCTGGGATAGTGGAGTTTGTAACCTGAAGCATATGTAACCTGAAGCGTATGTAACCCGAGGTACCACTGTATATGGGAGGTGGAATTTGCAGGGAGGAATTGATAGGAATAGGAAGGGCTAAGCACCCTCCTCCTGCCTGCATATTTTCCTCTGAAAATGACCCCCTTCCCTGTTCCACCATCCACAAAACCAGGTGATGTGTCAGTTACAGTTTCTTTGGTGGTGTAACATGTAGTTCTGCCTTTAGACCAGTGGGTGTTGAGGTGGCTGCGCTGGAGGGGCTGTCGTCATGCATAAGCAAACCTCTTGAAAATTGGTGATATGCCACAGATTGAATTCAACACTTGGGTAAAGTAGTCTCCTAGTGATGACCTCATCCTGCTCATTACATGATCCCCGATTGGCTCAGTTCACCCATGTGACTCATCCAAGAAGCCTTGCCTTCGTTCTCATTGGCTTTGTCTGCATATTGCTACATTACATAGCCAAATTCAATCAGTAATGTGGCCAAGTGTCACAATCCAGACATTGTGTGATCCCTGATTGGTTGGGATTGCTCGTGTGACTAAACCAAGCAGGGGAAGAAGAAATAAGGGGAGGGAAGTGTCACTGAAACAATGGCTTTTTCTAGCACAAATAAGGACTTTTCCCAGGTCTGCCCCCCTTTCTTTCTACTCTGGAAGAACTATTTTCTGCGTTAAAATGAAAGAAAAAGGAAAACATTCTGCAAAGCACCACCATAGAGAACCAAGCTCTTGGAAAAAGTCAGGGCAAATTTAGGAGGGGGGGGGGGAATGTAGACCACCCTTTCCGTGAGCTCTTTGCAGAGTGGTGGTTGTGGGGAGTTTCTGGACTTTATTGGCCAGCTGGGGTGACCTACATGAAGCAGAAAATAAATGTCAGACAGCTGCAAGGAGCCGCGGATGCTGCTTCCCTACAAGCGCCAGCCAGGGGCTGAGTTATCAAAGGCGGATCTTGACAGAAGTAGCTTGACAGGAGATGTCACTCTGGTGCAGACAGATTTGCTGTGAAGTTTGCTTCTTGCTTCTCTCTCAGAACCCTGCAAATGAAGGCAGGGGAAGAAGCGGGGGGGGGGGGGGGAGAGAAGAGGAACATTAGTTGGAGATTATACACACTGACAAGTAGGTAGAAAATTGGCTTAAAGACCTGGAATCAAAGAGGGTAATGGAGAACGGCGTTTTGCTGAGCCAGGAGGAGAAGGAACAGTGGCGGAGGGGGCTGGGAGCACCAGGGGCCTCGTGTTAGTGTGTGTT